CCTCAACTCATGTCATGGTATTACACGCACTCCAAGTTGGTCCATGTTTATGGATAGCATATTCCTATATTTTTGTTTGGGATGTGTAGTTTTGATGCATATATGAACAGTAGTGTGTTGAGAGAGGAATGTTTTTAAAGAAAGGGAAAATATATTGCGTATGTAGGATGTGAGACAGGTTATATGCTGCTGTGGGAGTGTCTGTTCGTGTCTGTGTGTCACCCGGGAGAGCATGCACGCGTGCACTTCCCTGACTCACCAAACAGATGCTTTGCTTTGCAGCGAATTGTCATGCCCCCACCCCCTTTCTCGAATCAAAATTAAAACTAATAATAATATTTAATGTTCATTCTTGCCACCTTTGCTGATCCAGCAACACAGGATTGACCATTGAGCAATCCGATACTTGCAGTTGCAGATGCTTGATTCCTTCGAAAACACCGAATGTATAACCAACACCGTCATTTAATGTGTAATTAATACGTATTTATTATGACCTGTTGATTATTAGATCTGCGAGTCACTAGCAGTTACTGTGCATGCATGCATGCTTCATACACAAACAAACACACACACAACTGCTGCTTTCTTACAGATTCAGGAAGACAAGAGCCAAGTGACAACTTCTACTACTGTGTTTGGAAGGTCCACTCTCTCTCGTGTTCTCCGCCACATTTCTCCCTCATTATCGTTTATTTTAATTTCTCGACTACTGTAGACACATCAAAATGCAGATTTTCTCTTTTGTTTTTTCCACCCCAAAGTGGTACCCACACGCTGTCCTTCTTCCCCTCATTTATTTGCCTTTAATTTGTTCCATCAATAATGAATTCCTCGTTAAACCTTCCCCCCTTGTCACTTCAATCACTGTACTGTTTCACTCTTAATTATTTTATTCCTAGTTCATTTATATGACACGAATAAAACCCACCAGTTACAGGTAATGACGGAGATACATGGGAACAGACAGTGATGCCCAGCACAGCTTCATGTGGAGGTTACAGATTCATATATAATTAAACTGCAAGGTAATGCTATGCCCACACACGCACACACTAATTATCCTTCAAATACCACAATTAGTCTTATATTTTTTATTTATAAATTTCATATACTTTCATTCAAAATGTACAGGGGCTAAAAGTCAAGCATGATATTGATATTTTTTAAACAAAAATAATAAGTAATAATTGTTTTTTTTTTTTGGAAAAAAAGAGTTGACGTATCTATATAAGAAAAAAAGAGTTGACGTATCTATATAACATTAACTAACATGAAGAGAAATATTTGTGTTTTTCTAAGCAAAGATTTATATAGGTAACTTTCAAAAGTATATTTAAATCAAATTCAACAAATAGTTGAATCCTTCTCATAGACTTTTGTTACATATGAACTGAAAATCAAATGCACATTCTATTGATCTGAAATATAAAATACAGCTTTGCTTTATAGGTTATGCTAAAATAAACAATTGAGTTAATTCTTTGCTAATACTCCCTTCATCTCAAATTATAAAACACTTTTAAATAAAATCATACTTACCAATAAAATTCATTAAATATATTTAATATTTTTATTTTTTGAAGTAAAAAATATAAACTTTTAAAAATATCCTTTATTTTTAATACTTTATTCTTGAAAGGATATTAAAGAGAAATAATATATAAAATGAATAATATAAAATAAATATTATTAATGAAATTTTATTTTTATTGAAGTGTTATATATATTGGGAGGCGTTGCAATTCCACCAAAAATATTTTATAATTTATGATAGAAAAAATATATTCCAACAGGTGATGTAACGTGACAATGCGTGTTCAAGGTTATCGATTCCAAGTTGTGTTTCTTGATCAATGTCAAGTTATGAATTTGATTTTAATTAGCGATAAATAAAATGTATAAAAGAAGCAAGTGACGTTATATTGGCCTAGCAACAATTCCTTAATTCAGCACAGTAGCACAACTAGGTTCTCAATCAAAATTTGTTGAGAAGACCATTTCCGCGCCATGAATGCAATTAATTGAACTCCTGCCCGTATCAACCAAACGAAACGAACACAAGTCTTCCAGACCGTTTCAACGGAGAATTATTGAACATAGGAAAGGAGGCACATACATAGCTAGCTAGTGGAAGTGGGAAGCCACATCTTTTGCTAGGTGGGATGAGAAACGTAAAAAAGTTATGAAATTCCCATTATATGCTGTTGTCGGAAGAGGAGGCAAATTTTGATAGACCAAAAATTTAATCGCCCAGCAAGATATGCTTTCAATGCGTGCCACAACTTTGGGTGACCGTCCTGGGCGTACTCACGAGGCATAAATGGGCAACACCAAGCCGCTATCAGTTACTTATTTTAGGTCCTTGGTTGCTGTCATTTTCTTCGTCAATAGGTTGATGGAAACTCCATTAAATAAATTTGATTAGTTTTAGCGGTTAAAAGACAGAGTACTAAATACGCCGAGATAGAAGAACAGAGAGGAAATCCAGATGAAATTCCTGCTGCAACGTAGCCTCTGGTGTGGGTTTTCCATTGCATATCGTCGGGAAAAAAGAAGAGAGAAAATCTTAATCAACATGCAGTAGCTATAACTATTTCAATTGTTAAGAATGGAAGCGCAGTTTATGCACAAATTCAAAGCCTAGCCACGAGCACTAAATTAAGAATATGCAAACATGATGTGATGATATATTTGTGTGTGTGTCCATGTTTTTGAATCAAGCGTTCGAGAACAAGGGAAAGAATCCAAAACATTTTAGAGAAAGCACATAATAGAAGTGAAGAAGACAAGCATATGAGAAATTAAAAGCACCTTACAAATTTGCCTATAAAAACTAGGGTCAAAAGGCACGATCGCAAATCAGATGCACATCACGGCACTTGCCTCCTCTCCACTTTCTCCAACATTATTTGTTCACTGCGTAAAACACTGGGCAATTTGTTCAGCATGAAATGCCGACAACCCTCATGTATATATGCAGCGGCATTCAACCTCATCAAGAGACTAGAATAAAAGAATATAAAAAAGATATTAAGATCTGTTTCACATTTTAATGCAATGAAGTGCAATTCGGTGACCGAATTATGTGTCTTTCGGGGGCAATAGAATGCATCAACAAGCTAGCTAATATACAACACCTATAATTATACATCACCATTACTATGACTAGTATTTATTAATTTCAGTATGTTTTTATTTTCCTATAAAAAAGATTGTCTGATCATTATTTTTTAAAAAATTATAAAACTCTTTTGTTATAATTAATTAAAGGAGTAAATGGCATAACGTACTCCCCCCCCCCCTCCTTCTCTCTCTCACACACACACCCACACCATATTTTTTGAGTGAAATCAAGTGAAATTCTTTTATTGTAGCTATGTCTCATTTACTACTTTTCATACTTTGAAGATATTCGGTCTGCATGTAGTGATTTTGATTCTTGCTAATGTTATAACAGGATGACATTAATAAAAGTTCCTTGCTCTGATATCACATATATCATAACCAAAAAGGTGCATCAAACAATCATTTCACATCGCCGTTCGCAGCGTAAATTTTTACTTTATCCATTATATCTTTTTCATTCTATCATAATTAAACTCTCCAACAATTTTTTTTTATAAAAAACATGTAAAAGGTCATATAGAATTTTTTTTCTTGAAACATGCAACTTGTGTAATTTATTTATATGAATGAAGAAAGGTTTAGCTTATACAGACACGCGCGAATAACATTCGAATTTTTTTTTCATTTAATAATTAAAAAAAAAGAATACAAGGAATTTTCTAAGTCGCCTATGATCTATTAAAACTTAAAGTGACATATCTGAAATTTCATCGAATAATAATCATGGTAGTCATAGTGTTTATCAACTGTTCATGAAATAGCCAACAGATCGTGTCAACTTAAGATGATATGCAGAATTGACAGTCAGAAACACAAAGTGTTACACATTTAATTAGTTAAAAACCAGCAATAAAAATAAATTTCAACAAATTAAAGGCGAGTTTCAGCAATATAAAAGGGTCAAGATCAAATTGAGGACATGTACCTTGCCAAAATGCCCACCAATACTCCTATCATTTAAAAAGATCGCGGAAGGAACACAGATCGATTTTTGGAGAAATATATAGTAATTGCGATATATTTAGTTAAAAAAAAAAACAGAGAGGTAATAGAGAGATGAAAAGATCTCAACCAGATGGGTACGTATAACTAAATGTTTTTAATCATAAATGCCTACACAGTTCGTTGTACGAGAGGATTCCAACTTTTATTGCTGAAATTTTATATAAGGAATATAAATCAATTTAAGAAAGCCGGAGACGATGAGCATGTTAAAGCCCTTCCTGATAAATGTGCATGCAGGAAATAGAGATTGTGCAGGAATCTTCAGTGAGACACTGACCAACATCCGATGAATTTAGACCAAATATAAAAAGGGCGATAAAAATAGAATTGTTGATTAGAAATATATAATAGGGCTTGAGGCATTTGGCTGCAAGTTTTTTCTCCGGGAAGGGACCTAAAAGGCCAAGGGGGACAAAAAAGAGGATTACATGGAAGGAGATGGTGCCAATATTTTAACTAGTCATGTGTGGTCACACTCATTGTTGCATTCATACAAGACAACCAATCAATTTGTCCACAGCCACATGATTTCCAATTAAATATTCACCCCAAAACAATAGCCAATGCATTCAAAGTCCTTCCTGACCTAAATATAACGCTGGAAGGGTGGAAAAGAAAACATGACTAGGTGGGAAGAACAGAGAGGGACAGAAGATATCAAAGATTTACTATCAATTATTAATTAACATAATAATAATAATAATAATAATAATAATAGGCAAATAATTGTATTCAAGATAACCCATAAAAATTAACCAAAAAAGGAAAACAAAAATATGCAAAGAAAGTAGAAAGCCCTCCCCAAGCAGAAAGTAAAAGAGATGTAGTAAATAATTTGGGCTATGAGGGGGACAAAAAAAAAGAAATAAAAAGAAGACAATAAATTGGCCGTGAAATTAGCTGAGCTAGGGATCAGTAATCAGTAAATACAAAGTAAGGACTTGACAGGCGAAGGATTGGCGATGATTGACCTGCGTCTCGTCGTCTCCGTCGCACCCTCTTTCGTTTCCCACTTAAAAAAACATCAATCCCTGAATTCTGACCATTCAAATGCCTACAAAAAAAAAAAAAACCCCACCAACAAATAAAAAACGGCCCGCATAGACCAGCGAGCCGAAAGGCTAGTGACCCGGTGAATCCTTCAACTGACAATCGAAGAAAATTTCTACGACCCATCTATCATCGTCCATCCACTGGTGTCTTCTCTCTCTTCTATTCACATCCATGGTTGGCAACTAAATTCTAAGTTCGTATCTATGAGTAGATTGTTTTTGAACTATCATTCTCAGGTTATAGCTAGAAATCATGCGAGTGATGGTGGTGGTACATTGTTGGGTCACATCCAACTCGATGCGAGCCATGACGGTTCATGGGATCCCTGTGGCTATCGTCATCTCCGTCCAATCTGGAAACTATTTGACCCGAAGCCGCCGCACCTAGATTCAGATAAACCAGCCTCGAATCCAGGTTCAGGTTGCTGCTGCTACCGCTGCTATGATCTTCACTCAGCGGGGGATATATGGCCGCCGATGTGGGAGGATTGGCATTTCCTTCTTCACGAGAAATCACGAGGGCCGCCGATTGAACCAGCTCCAAGCATAGCCTCAGCTTGTTGGGTTCGATGTGGGTTAGCCCAGGCACGGCCCCTTTGAACAGGAAATCCGAAGTTAGGGTTCTGAGAATGTCAAGCGGGGTCACGCCATCGACGGTGCGGACATTCGGATCGGCGTGATGGTCCAAGAGCACTGCAACCATGTCCGGCGATACCATCTCCGATGCAATGTGGAGCGGGCTTTTCCCCGCAGGCCCGGCCGGATAGTTGACATCGGCCGCACCCAGCTCCAGCAATGCTTTCACCACTTCTCGGCTGCAATTCTCTACGGCGTAGTGCAAGGCCAATGCTTCGTCTAGATTCAGGCCCTCCCCCATTACCATGAGCTTCACAAGCTCCACATCGGAAGAGTCCAGCGCTCTTTTCATTCGCCGGATTTTCTGGTCCTCAAGGTCGGCGACGCGGATGTCTGGGTGGTGATAGGGCAATAGAGAGCGGCGAGTGAAGGAGGATTTGAGACGAATCTCTTCGATCTTCGCAACGACGTCTATGGGAAGGTGTTTGGCGAGCACTTCAGGTGGGAGACCTGACTTGGCAACAAGGTGGGAGCAAGTGGCCCACAGCTGGTGCATGTCTTGCTTTCTCGATGCTACCAGCACTTTCATTACATCTTCGATGGACGCCTTCTCTACCATACTCGTTAACTGTTTCTGTTGTTTATTTCCCAAACAAGCAAATCAAAATGTGGGTAAGAGAATTTGCATTCCGAGCCTTTAAAATGTTCATTCATGTAAGAAGAAAGAAAAGATTCGAGGGGAGACAACAAATTTGATGACACGTTCGCTAAAATTACGTTAGCCTTTTTGCTGTCTCTTGTTCCCTTTCCCAGTCCCAAATCCTAATGAGGAAAGGGATCGCGTTTGAGTGACAGATTTGATGTGCTTACTGTGAAAGACAGGAGTGGATACAATGATCTAAATTTAGAAGCTCTTTTGTTATGCATTATAGCGGGTATGTGTCGGCTAGAGAAACAATCCAATACGAGAAACTTCATCAAGGCACACAAAACCAAGGGACATCGTAGTAATTGTGTGAGCGCTTTAATTTAATTACACAGGATGAAGTCAAAGGAAATTGATACGTGAAAAGATATTCCCCAAGAAAACAAAAGGAGCAGCAGCTATGAAAAACTAAAAACTGCGTCTTTAGCGATGGGAATCGAAGGCATGAGCGGACGGGAGGATTGTTGAATTATAGAGAGGAACAGAAAGAGAACTGAGAGATACTTACAAAAGCCTGACAGGCAAAAGCACCCAGCTAGGAAAGTGAGAGACCATACAACCAACCACGCTCCTAATTATGGAGAATGATTAAACACAAACCGAACTGAAATCCTACCCACTTCTTCATGAGATAATAGAATTACCCACAAGATTTATTTACTTTTTTGTGAAAAGGCTTAATAATAATATCCCCTTCTCAGTTTCCAAAAATCGGAACCGGTAATTGTTGAAATTCCCTAGACCAGCAAACATACGACTGGTCACCCTAACCAGAGAAAAATGGCAGAGTGAAACAGTGAGGATGATACAGGTGACGAGAAAGAAGGTTCACCTGGGTGAGCAATGCAAGCTGTTCAACACCAAAAGATCTGGCGGCGGCAAGAGTGTCGAGAGCAAGATCAACGGCGGAGGTGCAATGCGTGTGCCAGCATCCTCGCTCGCCACAATTAGGCCGGGGCTCGTGCTTCTGGGGCACAATAGACACTTGTCCGCTGTACAGGAACTGAAGAAGCAACAAGAACACTTCGTACCCGACCGAGTTAACCGGAATGATCCCGGGCCTTGGGCCGGAAGCGGAAGAGTTGACCCGGGAGCCGGCCAGGTCCAGTCCCGACGGAGGGTCCGGGGCACAGAAGAATTTCCTGAAGAAGAGGCTCCGAGCAGCGAGGATGCATCGATGAGCGTGGACAAGACGACCCTCAACGCTGAAGGTGACGTCACTGAAGGCTTGGCCGTTGATGAGAAGGTTGAGGAAGTCCAGCGACAGAGATCTTAGAGAATCTTCGAGGGACATGGTGGGAGCTACTTCAGGGTTGATGATCAAGGGAGAGAAATCAAAGCTGAGAGAAAGAAACAGTGGAGGATAGGGACAGAGAGTGAGAGGGAGACACAGAGAGGGAGAGATTAAGCGAAGTGAGTGGATTGAAATAGTGAGAAGAGAAAGAAGGTTGGGTTCATTTGGTCGATGATGATGGTACTTACTGTGATGTTGTTTTGATGGGATTCTCTGAGCGAATGGAGGGGTGTGGCCGTGGGTTTGTGTGCTGCGTATCGATAGATATTTTGAGAGAGAGTGAGAGCGCGGAGGGTGGAGAGATACAGACAGAGCAATTTGGGTGGTTGTTCTGGGCGGCTGTGGGTTTATAAAAGAATTCCAGGATTGAATTTTAAAAAATGCCACAATTCATTTTCTTGTTATTATAGTAATATATTTACCTTGTCTACTTATAACATCCACATAAGCAAAGAACTGTGTATGTAGAGACACGTACACAGAGAGGCGGATGAGGAGTATACAAATATTGATGGAGGATATTTAGACTGCTGTGTAGCTGGGACAAATTAGCTAATACAATGTTTGGACCAAAACAGTGTGACTATTGATTGACGAGTATCTCTATCTATATAATATCAGCATACGTCAATAATTTATACAGACCACAAGTACAATAAAATTTAAATTTTTATTTAAAAAAGTATTCATATTTAATATTCAAATGTGTCTTAAACAAAATTATTTTTAATATTAAAAAAATATATCTGCGATCAATAAAATAAATAAATAAATTATTTATTATGTGTGACATTATAAATGGTATTTATTGAACAAAGCATAAATAATAACATGTATTGTGTCAAACGGTCAATGCAAAAATTTCTTTGCTATAATATTAGAATTTTTTTTATACAATAGTTGTCCAATAATATTTTCCTCGCATTAGGCTGTGATCTTTGAAGTCATACTACCAATCAATTGGCTTTTTATACTTTTACAGTTAAAAAATATAAGATATTTTTAATATTTAATTTAATGTGTAATTATTACTTGTTAACAATAAATAAATTATTTTATGTTTATTTTAAAATAAAATACTTTATTAAGTAGTGAACATGAAAAAATAATTACTTTATTAAGGAGAAACTTGATTAAAAATGTTTTATATTTTTTTGAAAGGATAAGTATCATTTATATTTCACATTAATTGTTGTATGTGTGTCAAAAGTGTGTGTGTGTGTGTCAAAGTCCCACATTGACTAAAGGAAGGAATCTCCTAATGTATATATACTAAGGAATGAAGTGGACTAGTAAAATGGGCTTGAAGGAGAAGTGGCCTCGCGCACATGAGACAGGCCAACTCAGGGCAATCGCAGTTGAAATCAGCCGATTCACCCCCCCGCACGTGAGTTCAAGAGATAATGGATTCCTTTTACCGGATTATTTTTACAAAATAAATAATTATTTACTGAGCCTTTAATTCGGTGGTAACCCTCCAACGTTCTTGTCCACCTTCGGGCTATACAGACATAGCGGTGCGGAGTCTCTTGACTGCTCAATGTTCTCTCCTCCATCTGTTTTCGTTTGTGCATTTGTTTTCGATTGTTCTGTTCCCTCGTTCCACCGAGGAAGTGCTTGTTTAATCTTGGGGAACTGCCGGTCGTCTGATGGTGTGCCGGAATAGTTCTTAAGGACAGTGTCCTTCCAAGCACGACTCGAGCAACCCGTACCTTCCTGTTCGCATTTCTGCCGGTCACCTCAACAATCTTAAGAACTATTCAGCTTAATGGCGACCAACAGTGCTGAAAATGTCACTCACAAAGGTGTGCCAAGTGGATCGGCTGGAGGTCAGTACGTCCCTGCCGCTGTTGCCGTCCCCCTACCGAGGCCGTTCCCGGACATATCAAAAATAGAAGTCTTTGATGGCCGGAACTTCAAACGCTGGCAAGAACGTGTCTTCACCGTCCTTGACATGCATGGTGTGGCTGCTGCTCTTGCTCAATCCGAGCCTCCTGCTGATGCTGATCAAGCCCAGCGAGTTGCATGGACTCATGCAAACAAGGTATGCCGACACACTATCATTAGCACTTTATCTAATGATTTGTTCGATGTCTACTGTGTCTACAAGGAAGCTTGTAAGATATGGGAGTCCCTGGTGACAAGGTACACTGCTGAGGATGCCGACAAATAAAAGTTTGTTGTGGGCAACTACTACAAATGGGAGATGACCGAGAACAAAGATGTCAAGGAGCAAATCAATGAACATCATAAGCTATTGGAGGAGCTTCGTGCTGAAAACATCAACCTTCCAGATGAGTTCGTTGCTGGGATATTGATTGAGAAGCTGCCAGAATCATGGTCTAACTACAAACAGCAGCTGAAACATAAACAAAAGCAGCTATCCTTGACCGATTTGATCACTCACATCATCATCAAAGACACCAACCGCAAGGCAATACGTGCAGTTCGAACCAAAGAAATGACATCCAAAGCCAACCTGGTGGAGACAAAGCCTTACAATAAGAGGTATGATTCTAAAACTAAAGACAAGAAGAATAAGAAATCTGATTACAAACCCAATGCTTCTAACCCCTCTTTCAAAAAGAAAGGAGACTGTTTTGTCTGTGGTAAACCAGGACACTATGCAGCACAGTGTAGGAAGAGAGCAAACTGTGATAAGACTCGGAAGCCAAATGTAAATTTGGTACAACGAGATGGTGACAATGATGATGACATCATTGCTGCAGTGGTGTCACAAGCTCTCTTAATTTCTGATATGAAGAAATGGGTGGTAGACTCCGGGGCTACCAGGCACATATGTGCGAGCCAAGAGATGTTTATCACCTATAATCCTGTAAAGGAAGGGGAAGACCATGTTTACCTTACTGATTCCCGAACTGCTAAAGTTCAAGGAAAAGGAAAAGTGGTCTTAAAGCTCACATCAGAAAAGACTCTGGCTCTGAATGATGTTCTGCATGTGCCTGAAGTTAGAGCTAACTTAGTGTCAGTTGCTCTTTTAGGGAAAGCTGGGGTTAAAGTGTCATTTGAATCTGACAAGATTGTAATGACAAAAAATAATGTGTTTGTAGGCAAAGGGTATTGTAATCAGGCACTGTTTGTTCTAAATGTTGATGAAATGAATAAGACTGAATCTTCTGAATATATTCCTGTTTATATGGTTGATTCCTTTGATCTGTGGCATGCTAGACTAGGTCACGCTAGTAAAGGTTATATAAATAGGATGCGACAACTTGGACTACTTTTTGAAATTAAAAATAGAGATTTTGGAAAATGTGAAGTATGTGCAGAAACTAAACAAAGTAAAAAACCTCATTTTTCTAATCAAAGAAAATCTGAATTACTATCTTTAATTCACACAGATTTAGGTGACTTAAAACAAACCATGACTAGAGGTGGTAAAAAAATATTATATCACTTTTATTGATGATTTTTCAAGATATACTAAAGTATACTTGTTAAGAAACAAAGATGAGGCTTTTGAAAAATTTTTGTTATATAAAGTAAAGGTTGAGAATCAGTTAAACAAAAGAATTAAAAGGGTTAGATCGGATAGAGGAGGAGAATATATTTTGTTAAATGATTTTTGTGAAAAAGAAGGAATTATACATGAGGTAACACCTCCTTATTCTCCCGAGTCTAATGGTGTTGCAGAAAGAAAAAATAGAACATTAAAAGAAATGATAAATGCTTTGCTTGTGAGTTCTTCTGCCCCTGATAATTTGTGGGGTGAAGCTATTTTATCTGCATGTTTTTTACAAAATAGGATACCTCATAAGAAATCAAAGAAAATACCTTATGAGTTATGGAAAGAGTTTACCCCAAACTTAAAATATTTGAAAGTGTGGGGGTGTCTTGCAAAAGTTTTATTGCCTGATCCTAAAAAGAGGAAAATTGGCTCTAAAACTTCTAATTATATGTTTATTGGGTATGCTGAACAAAGTGAAGCGTATCGCTTTTTAGTTTTAAAAAGTGATGTTTTAGACCAAAATACAATTATAGAGACTAAGGATGCTGAATTCTTTGAACATATTTTTCCTTTAAAAATTAAGCATGTTTCTAAACCTGTTGAGAATTCAGAGTTTGAACAAAATTTTAACGAGGATTTGGTTTTAAGGAAAAGTAAAAGGCAAAGGAAAAAAACAAGTTTTGGAGATGACTTTTACACTTATCTAGTACAAGATGAACCGTTAAATTTTTATGAAGCTATTTCTTCTCCTGATGCCAAATTTTGGAAAGAAGCAATTGAAATTGAAATTGATTCTTTCAGGAAAAATAAAACTTGGGTTTTATCAGATTTGCCCCAAGGAGCTAAGGCTATTGGGTGTAAATGAATTTTTAAGAAAAAATATTTTCCAGACGGTTCAATTGATAAGTATAAAGCAAGGCTTGTGGCCTAGGGTTTTACTCAAAAAGAAAATATAGATTATTTTGACACATTTTCTCCTGTGACTAGAATCTCTTCTATAAGAGTTCTTATTGCTTTGGCTTCAATTTACAAACTTTTTGTTCACCAAATGGATGTTAAAACAACTTTTTTAAATGGTGATTTAGAAGAAGAAATTTACATGGTACAGCCTGAGGGATGTGTGATTCCTGGGTAAGAAAATAAAGTTTGTAAACTTGTAAAGTCTTTGTATGGTTTAAAACAAGTGCCTAGGCAATGGCATGAGAAATTTGATCAAGTTTTGACAACTGGTAGATTTTCTACTGTTGAAGTAGAAAGATGTGTTTATACAAAGTTTGTGAATGATGAATGTGTGATTATATACTTATATGTGGATGATATGCTGATTTTTGGCTCTAGTATGTGTGTTGTTAATGAAACAAAAAATTTTCTTTCTTTAAATTTTGATATGAAAGATATGGATGAAGCCAAGGTAATCTTGGGTGTAAAAATTATAAGGAATGAAAATGGAATCTTGCTTTCTCAAGAACATTATGTTGAGAAAATTCTCAGAAAGTTTGGACATCTTGAAGATGCTCCTCTGAGTATTCCTTATGATTCGAGTGTGCAATTAAAAAAGCACAAGGGTGACCCAGTTGCTCAATCTGAGTATGCATAGATTATTGGGAATCTGTTGATGAACTTTACTAGGCCTGATATAGCTTATGCTGTAGGCAAATTGAGTAGATATACTCACTGTCCAGGCAGCAAACACTGGGAGGCTCTGGTGAGAGTCTTGAGATATTTGAGAGGTACCATGAATTATGGTATATTGTATAGTGGATTTCCCACTGTATTGGAAGGATACAGTGATACTAACTGGATTTCGGATTCAGAAGAGACAAAATCCACTAGTGGTTATATATTCACTATTGGTAGTGGTGCAATAACCTGGAAGTCAGCAAAACAGACAATCAACACAAAATCCTCACGGGATTATGAGTTCATTACCATGGAGCTGGCTGGGACTGAGGCTGAGTGGTTAAAAAATTTCTTAGCAAGTATTCCAATAGGTGAAAAGCCCACACCATCAGTGTCTTTACATTGTGATAGCCAGTCTGCAATAGTAACGACTAAAAATAAGACCTTCAATGACAAAAGTAGACATATTTGATTGAGACATAATATTATAAGGCAGCTGCTCAAAGACGAGGTCATCTCAATCGATTATGTGAGATCAGAGTTAAATCTGGCGGATCTGTTAACTAAACCCCTAGGGAAGAAATTTATTATTGAAATGTCAAGGGGAATGGGACTTAAGCCTGTTTGAAATTAACGGTGATGGCAACCCAACCTTTGTGATTGGAGATCCCATAAAGAAGGTTCAATGGGTAAGAACAAGTCACTTGTTAGTTCTGCTAGCACTGAATTTTGTCCCTTCCTATGGCTTGAGAAAATGCTAGCATGCATTGAACGGAGGCTGAGCGATAGCTCTTAATGTTTTCATAGTCCTTACGGATGGTGTATTCATTACAGATACACTTGATGAAAACACCTATACAAATGTGGAGTGGGGTCGCTCCTATGAGATCGTGGCGAAATCTCTAGAGCATTTGTTAAAACCAGGCGTGCGCATGGTCGATAACGTGCAAAACCGTCGTTAACAACAGAGACTGTGGGGGTATAATCCGATTAATAAGACCTCCAGCACACGCTCAAGATTTGTTAGTTCAATAACGAAGTTACACCAACTTTTTTGTGTGCTAAGTTTTATTAGTCTAGGTTTGGTTCAAGTCGACAGACACCAAAATCAAAGTGATTATCCTCCGTATGAATAACACAGACGAATATAGATCCTTTTGACACATGTGGGGGATTGTTGTATGTGTGTCAAAAGTGTGTGTGTGTGTGTGTCAAAGTCCCACATTAATTAAAGGAAGGAATCTCCTAGTGCATATATACTAAGGAATGAAGTGGGCTAGTAAAATGGGCTTGGAGGAAAAGTGGCCTCGCGCACATGAGACAGGCCAACTCAGGGCAATCGCAGTTGAAATCAGCCGATTCGCCCCCCTGTGCGCTAGTTCAAGAGATAATGGGTTCCTTTTATCGGATTATTTTTACAAAATAAATAATTATTTTTTACCTTGCCGGAGAAACTCAAATTTTGGCTGTCTGAAGTTTGAAACCAAACCAAAAACATTTTTTGATCATTAACTAAATTAATTATCTGAACTTTTTGCCTTCCCAACATTTCAAGACAGGAGGTTAAATGCAGTTTACATTTGTGTAACCTCTCCGTTTTCAGACAAGCTTTTAAACGATTTTATGACAGTGTAACCGAGCCTTTAATCCGGTGGTGACCCTCCAACATTCATGTCCACCTTCGGGCTATATATAGCCATGCGTGCAGACATAGTGGTGCGGAGTCTCTTGACTGCTCAGTGTTCTCTCCTCCATCTGTTTTCGTTTGTGCATTTGGTCTCGGTTGTTCTGTTCCCTCGTTCCACCGAGGAAGTGCTTGTTTAATCCTGGGGAACTGCCGGTCGTCTGACGGTGTGCCGAAATAGTTCTTAAAGACAGTGTCCTTCCGGGCACGACTCGAGTAACCCGTACCTTCCTGTTCGCATTTCTGCCGGTCACCTCAACATTAATGCCCAATTTCCAATACCATCAGTAATTTCTAAATATAAAAATTCTACTTAATTTTGAGTTCATGAATTATTTTAACTTAACTGGACAAAATTTTGGCCAATTATGATGATCAACAATTATAGTACCTTCTGATATATAATTTTTACCCATTAGAAGATGGTTGCAGGGGACAATCATTTTTCACATTGACCTGAATAAAAAAATTAAGAAGTCATGTTGCCAAAGTTTTTGGACTTTGGATTCGCTGATATGTAGTATGTATCTTCGAAAATAAAACAATTTACAAGCTTTATTAAACGTTAAAAAATGCATGTCAGCAAGCATTTGTCTTTTTATCATTAATTATAGCTCACATTAATATCCTCGTCTGTAAAAAAAAAAAAACAAACAAGAAAGGGTTAACCTTTACACTGTACTGTGCAATGTTTTTTCACGTTGTTGGATTACTTTGGGTTCCCTTCAACGGCATTTTTTTTTTTTGTTAAAAAAAATTACTGACAGAGAAAAAAGGGTCAATTATAAAAAGCTAATGGCCAAAGTCAGGGGGGGGAAAACAACAAAAACACGCGTCACCCTAAAAAGTAAAACTACAGAACATATACAACGGGAAATTAGAGTCCGTTTGGGTACTCTGAAATCTGAATTCCATATCTAAGATCTGAATATGCATTTTTGAAAACTTAGAAACTGTTTGATTATTTTTTTTTTGGATAAAAGCACGTCTATAAAGCATATTAAAAATGCAGTTAAAAATAAATTTCTCAATTTGATTTGAGAAAGCCTTGTAAAAGTACATTTCAAAAGACTTTTACTTGTGCATGATGAGAGACGATAGAGGGGAAGCAAAGGTTAAATAACGACACTAACAACAATAATAACAATTGAATAAAATAATGATAACAAAAATAGATCAAAAGCACATTGAAATATTATGCCCTTCTGAGTCTCATGACTTGTGACAAAGTAAGAGGACA